CCCTCTCTCTCCCCTTCTCCCTCAACCTCTCTCTCTCTCATCCCTTCCCTCTCTCTCCTTGTGTCCTTTCCTCTATTCCTTCCCTCTCTCTCCCTCTCTCTCCTTCCCTATCTCATTTTCTCTCTCTTTCCCCCTCTCTCTCCCCTTTCTCTTACTCTCTCCCTTCTCCCTCTCCCTCTCAATCACTCACCCTTCTCTTTCCCTTTCCCTCCCTCCCTCCCTCTACTTATCTCTCTCTATCCCTCTTCCTTTCTCTCTCTACCTCTCCCTCTCTCTCTCCCTCTTCCTTTCTCTCTACCTTGCCCTCTCTCACTCTTTTTCTCTCTCTCCCTCTCCCTCTCTTTTCCTCTCCCCTTCCTCTCTCACTCTCTCCCTTGCTCTCCCTCTTTCTCTCTTTCTCGCTCTCTCCCTTGCTCTCCCTCTCTCTCAACTCTATCTCCTTCTCGCTCCAAACCTCTCTTTCCCTCTCCCTCTCCCTCTTATTCTCTCTCTCTATCCCTCTATCCCTCTCTCCCTCTCTCTACCTCTCCCTCTTCTTGCTCTCCCTCTCTCTCGCTCTCCCTCTCCCTCTCCCTCCGACTCTCCATTTTTTCAATTTCTATCCCTCTCTCACTCACTCTCCCTCTCTCCCTCCCTCTCTATCCGACTCCATCTCTCTCTCCTTCTCTCTTCCTATCTCTCCCTCTCTCTCTCCCTCCCTCCTCTCCCTCTCCTTCTCTCCCCTCTCCATTTCTCTCTATCCATCTCCCAATCTCTCTTTCTCCCTCCCTTTCTCTCCCTCTTCTCTCCACCTCTCCCTCTTTATCCCTCTCTCACTCTACATTATCTCTCTCTCTCTCTTGCTCCCTCTCTCTCCCCTTCTCCCTCTACATCTCTCTCCCTCTCATCCTCTCCCTCTCTTTTTTCTCTCCCTATTTCCCTTCCTCTATCCCTTCCCTTTCTCTCCCTCCCTCTCCTTCCATCTCACCTTCCATTTTTACTTCCCTTTTTCTCCCCTCCTCTCTCTCTTTCTCCCTCTCTCTCTCCTCTTTCTCTCACTATCTCTCTATCCCTCTCCCTATTTCTCCCTCTCCCTCCCTCTCTCCCTCTTTCCTTTTCTCTCCCTCACCTTCTCTCTCCCACCTTCCCTCATTTTCCCTCTCTCCCTTCATCTCCCTTTCTCCCTTTCTCCCTATCTCCCACTCCCTTTCAATCTCTCTCTCTTATTCTCCCTTTCTCCCCTATCTCTCTCTCCATTTTTTCTCTTTGCCCTTCCCTTTTCCTCTCTCCCCTACCTCTCTCTCCATTTTCTCTCCTTGCCCCTCCCTCTCCCTCTCTCTTTGTCTCCTTCTATCTCCTCTCTCTATCCCTCTCCCTCTCACCCTTTTTCTCTCCTTTTCTCTTTCCCCCACTCCCTCTTTTCCCTCTCTCTAACTCTCCCTCTCTCCCCTTAGTCTCTCTCACCATTTCCCTCTCTCTATCTTCTTATCTTTCTATCCCTCTCTCACTCCCTCTTTATATCTCTCTCTCCCTCACATTCCCCTTCTCTCCTTTTCTCTCTCTCCCCTTCTCCCTCTCCCTCTCTACCTCTCCCTCCCTCCCTCCCTCTTTACCTCTCGTATCCTTTTATCTTTCACTCCCTCTCTCACTCTCCCTCTCCCTTTCTCTTTATCTCACGCTCCACATCCCCCTCCTTTTTCCCCCTTTCTCTCCATCTTTATATCTCCCTTCCTTCCTCTCGTATCCCTTCATCTCTCTCTCTCCTCTCTCGCCTTCCATTCTCTCTCCCTTTCTCTCCCTCACTCTTCCTTTCCTTTTCTCTCTCTCCTCCTCTCCATCTTCCCTCTCTTTATCTCTCACTCTCTCCCTCTCTCTCCCCATCTATCCTTCTCTCGTTTCTCCCTTTCTCTTTTTCCCCTCTCTCACCTTTTCTCTCTTACCATCTCTCTCCCTAGTGTAATGCTCGCCGTATGCACCCAAATTAAACTCCTAAGCTCCTATAACATAAATGTAGTAAGGGAGAGTAGGGATCAATCCCATAAGGAATTCAATCACGTTAGTTGTCACAAGTCTAGAAGAAACATAAAATAAATAAAAAGGGGGTTTTTATTTGATTGAGATATAATTGAAACTAAACAAATTAAATTCAAAAAATGAGTTTAAAGTATATATTCAAGTAAACAAACCTTGGTTCGAGTAACATCCACTTTTGGAACTTGAGATTTATCCTTGGTGCATGAAATATTAGATTTCCATTCAAATATTTATTGTGATATTGAAATCAATATTTCCTTACGATTAGCCAACTAAAAACATGTATTCTAATCAGCCATCATTATTTAACAACCCTAGATACGATCTAAGATTTAATCAAACAATGGCTTTATGTATTAGAAAGATCAACAAAGCAAGACAACACAACACATGTAGTTGCATTTAATCTAGTTGAAAAATCCTCCTAAGAGTTATTAGTTTCTAACACAAGCAAACCATACACTCCTAGTTGCTACACAAATCAAATGGATTGAACAATTACGGATTTAATATTTGATCTAGCTATAGATTATCTAAGCTAATAAACTAACCGTACACATTAGAAATTAACCCAAATAGTAATGAAAATAAGCATAAAAGAAAGTTCAATACTTGAAATAAATAAACCGATTTACATTAATGTTAAGCACCTCAAAATCTTTGATTTCTAAAAACTTCGCTTACCTTCACCAAGGAGAAGAGTCTAGCTGCTCATGGTAGCCACCATAGCTAGAGAGAGAGAGAAATAAGGCTACCTCCTATGAGAATAATACCTAAAAGTTGTCTTCCCTAGTCCGCTAGATTTCTATTTATACTAGGTTTCTATTTATACAAGGTGTCTATTTTCCAAAAAGGGTAAATAATATTCTCTCCTCTTTTGGTAGGCTAACGTCTTTTTTTGGCAAATCGCATAAGTTTTGTTTCTTTATGTAGTCCGTTGTCCGTTTCTATAGATTTCAGTGTGCCCGCATCAAGTTGCAACGTGCCTATGCCTTCATGTCCTTGTACATCTATGTCGTTGTATCTGCGTGCCCAAGCTTCTATTCTTGACATGCCCACGCTTCTTGTACCGGTGTGTCCACATTTGTCGTATTAGCGTGGCCACGCTAATAAACTTAACGTGCCCACGCTTCTTGTGTTTTCCAATGGATCGAATTGGCTTTGATTGCAAATTCTCTTTATATGATTCTTTTAACGCCATTTTTCAATCAGTTCCACACCTAGCACATAGAATACAAAAGACACTTAAGTTTTATCATTTAGACATCTAAAAATAGTAAAATGCAGGGGAATTTAGCAATTCAAACACATGTTTTAAGCATTATCAAATCCCCCACACTTAGCTCATGCTTGCCCTCAAGCATGCAAGAATCCGGACTTATCAAACCAACAATTTGAACTCCTTATTCCGTATCAACCAGTCTTTCCATACATCGAACACAAATCCTCAAAGAGTTGTACCAAAAACAAGACAAAAACAAGGCAATTGGTATAGAAAATCTATACTTTTCAAAATCATGCATAATGAACCCCTAACCTTCGAGTTTAGACTAAAAGTGCACCAAATTCATCACCCTTACCAAGAATTCACTCAAAAGTGCTCGTAGTGTTTAAGGTGAATGTATTTGTCACTCTCAAGTCAATGAATAGAAGAATCCTAACCATAAGCTTGCCAAACTATCATATCTCCACTACTAAGTATTGAATCAAACACAAAAATCAAAAGGTCTTATGATAGGGTGAAATGGGGTCAGTAGGTACGGTTTGATGGAGGTTGATTTGGTCTAAACAAGTCAAGAATCCTACATAAGTTACAAACTTTAAAATCTAATTTCTCAAGCATTACATGCCCACTTTTGTTGTTCCTAAGTTGCGAATCTCAATCTGTTTCCTTTATTATTTCTTCTTTTTCTTTTCTCGCTACTTCTCTTTGTTTCTTTCTTTTCTATTCTTTTTTTTTACAAACTAATTATAGCAGAAACATGCATTAGTGAATTACAAACATCGAGATAACGAACCATTTTTGGTAATTTCTTCAACAAAATCAGAATCTCACATAATTAGACATGAATAAAATTATTGACTTAGGTTCAAACAGGGGTTATGTATCAACTAAAGAGGTTGATTGGTTTATATTATGGTTATTTAATGAAGAAAAGGCTAAGGCTCAAACTTGGCTCCTAAGGGTAAAAATCGGGATAGGCTTTTAAGAGGTTTAAAATTGACTAATCCTAGGTGCCTTTATCATCTCAATGCATTTAATTCAAAGATATAGTCTCAAAATGTATAGCAAGGCAAGTTCTAGAAGAATTCAACTTACAAAGACAACACACAATCAAGAAATAAATAGAGCTTATATAAATGCATGCTCAAAGGCTCAAAAGCTCGGATATGCATGTTTTGTGTGAAATCGACACATTTCTAACTTAAACCAATTATTGGGTGGTCGTTCTACACAAAGATGTCAAGCAAAAGTGTCAACATTTTTATGCCCATTCCTATCTCATTTTTATCCAACTCAATGATTGAAATAATTCCAATCCATCTCAAGACAAGTTTCAATAAAATTGAGAATTTCAAAGGAGGTTTGACTAGTAGAATTTTAGCAAACTTAAAGCGTAGCATGATCATAAGTGAGCAAAAATTCAGCAACAAGCATATACAAATGCATGATAAACCCAACAAAAATTTGCAGCAACAAGCATACACAAATGCATAATAAACCCTCCCCCACACTTAGGCAACACATTGTCCTCAATGTGGACTCCATTCAACAACAACAACAACTCAACAACACAACTAAAATAAAAATAAATTGAGGTGCAACTAGAGGTAAAAGAAAAAAAAATAAATGAAACAAAAAATGAAAAAGTTAAAGGAAAAGAAAAGTTCTCCGAATATCCAAGTAGATCTTGTGCTCAAAACCCAGCCTATCATACCCCCTTTCTTACTTGGGTCCTTGTTCTCATGTTGGCAACGAGTAGAAGATGAGTGAGGGGAGGGAGTCACGGGTTGGGTTTTGGAAAATTGGGGATTTTGTTGTGTATTTGGAAGGAGATTGGGGTTAGGGAAATTGATTAAGGAAAAAGGAAGGGTTGTAGCAGATCTATGGGTGGTGTTCATGGATTAAAGGGAAGATGAAGGTCGTTGTGGTGTTGATCTAGCTGAAATGGGCGACGGGTTTGTGAAGGAGGAGACCCATTTGGGATTGAATTTGGGGAAAGAGAATGCTGGTGCGATTTGGGATGTAAGTGATGTTGGGGTGTTGCATTTGGTTTAAGTAAAAGGATGGGAGTGGAGGTTGAAGTGTTGTGTTTCATTTAAATGCAGGTAGGGGATGGTGGTTTGTCCATTCTACCACCATTTAAAATTATAACTTGCATTGCTATTGGCCCAAATAGTCTTTTTCAATGAGTTTTTGCATGGAAAAAATGCCATGCCCACCTTCTACAAGTATTAATTTGACCTATAACCCGCACAAAAACTAAAGGAAGGAGAAGACTTCACAAAAACATATTAAAAACATGCTACAACTACCGCAAACATAACCCAGTGGCGTGGGAACGCTAAACTTAACGTGGCCACGCAGATTCCTAAATTCAAACAAAAAATAATAAAAACAAATATAGAGTTTAAATAACTAAAAAATGAACATCAAAAGAGATAAACATGGGTTGCCTCTCGGTAAGTGCTAAGTTTAACGTCGAAAGCTCGACGTGATTGCTATTTATGGTTCCGCATAAATAGGTTTTGTCAACTCTACCTCATCCTCCTCTCGTAAATGGTACTCCTTCATGGAAGAGCTTCAGTCTATGGTCATTCACTTTGAATGATTTTGAAGTTACCGAGCTTTAGATTTCAACTCGCTCCATGTGGAAATACGTTGGTTATAACGAATGGTCCAAGCCAACGAGATCGTAATTTTCCTAGAAACATTTTGAGTTTGGAATGATATAAGAGAACCTTCTAACTAATGGAGAACTCTTTTCTTGAAATCATCTTGTCATGGAAAACCTTAGTTTTCTCCTTATAGATTTTGGAGTTTTCATAAGCATCATTCCGAATTTCTTCCAACTCTTGGAGCCGTAACTTTCGGTGTGCAATGTTTTCATTCCAAGTTCATGTTGCACCGCTTGATAGCTCGAATGCTTTGTGCTCTATCTAGACAGGTAGATGACATGGCTTACCGTACACCAGCCTGAATAGGGAAATACCAATTGGTGTTTTATAGGCTGTTCGATATGCCCATAATGCATCATCCAAACGCGGACTCCAATCCTTGTGATTTGGACCAATAGTCTTCTCAAGGATAGACTTGACTTCTCCGTTTGAAACTTCGCTTGCCTATTAGTCCGAGGGTGGTACGAAGTGCTAATCTTATGAGCACACCATACTTTTTCATCAATGCTCCAATGGTTCGGTTGTAGAAGTGAGTGCCTCGATCATTGATTATGGCTCTAGGAATACCAAATCTACGGAAGATGTTAGTTTTAACAAAATCCGCAATAACCTTAAAATCATCGATCCTACCGGCTTTTACTTCAACCCACTTAGAAACATAATCAACAGTTAGCGTAATGTTAGTATAGCCAAAAGAAATAGGAAATGGCCCCATAAAATCGATCCCCATACATAAAAAATTTCACGTGACTAAAATGGGAGTTTGAGGAATCTCATGTTTTCGCGAAATATTACTCGTCTTTTAACAATGTTCATAGGACTTGTAAAAAGAGTAGGCATCCTCGAAATAAATTTGGCCAATAGAAACCACATTCCAAAATTTTCCTTGTCTGTTCTATTGGCCCCAAAATGTCCTCCACATGCATATGAGTGGCAAAAAGTAAGGATGGAGGAAATTTCGGTTTCGTGTATGCACCTTCTAATTACCCGATCCGCATAGTGTTTCTACGTGTATGGGTCATCCCATACAAAGTATTTGAAATCACTCTTGAGTTTATCCTTTTGAGCTTTAGACATACCTACGGGAAGAATGCTAGAGGCCAAATAATTCATAATATTTACGTACCATGGGAGCCGTCCACCGACAGAGAATAATTGTTCATTAGGAAATTCCTCTTTTAACTTTTCCTTTGTTTTCACATGATTCAAACGACTCAAGTGGTCAACCACGCAATTCTCTGTATCGCTCTTGTCTTTGATTTCCAAGTTGAATTCACTTAGGAGCGGGATCCATCTCATTAGCCTTGGTTTTGCATCTTGCTTTGTCATCAAGTATTGAAGGGTCGTATGATCAAAATACACCACGACTTTGGTGCCCAACAAGTAGGAACAAAACTTCTCCGGAGCAAACACAACTCGCCGAAGTTCTTTTTCGGTGGTGAAGTAGTTCCTCTATGCCCTATTCAATGTGATAGATGCATAGTAAATGACTAGGGTGTTTTGCCCACTTTTTGGCCTAAAACAGCCCCTAAGGCATTGTCACTTGCATCACATATTATCTCAAAAGGAAGGCTCCAATCCGGTGGTTGGATAATTGGTCCTAAGACGAGCATTTCCTTCGACTTTATCAAAGGCGATCTTGCAATCTTCATCAAACTCAAAACTCATGTCTTTCTACAGTAGCTTGCACAATGGTTGTGCAATTTTGGAGAAGTCTTTGGTGAATCATCGAAAAAAACCTACATGGCCAAGAAAAGAACGGACTTCCCGCACACTAGTGGGGTAGGGTAAGGATTCAATAACATCAATTTTTGCCTTATCTACCTCTATCCCTCTAGCTGAAACAATGTGTCTTAATACAATGCCTTGTTCTACCATAAAATGACATTTTTCATAATTTAGAACAAGGTTTGCATCAATGCATCTTTGCAACACTAAAGTTAAATTATGTAGACATTTATCAAATGAGTCTTCATGGATCGTAAAGTCATCCATAAAGACCTCTATGATATGCTCTACATAATCCGAAAATATACTTACCATGCATCATTGGAAGGTGGTCGGTGCATTGCATGCTCCAAATGGCATCCGTTTGCACGTAAAGGTTCCGAAAGGACATGTGAATGTGGTTTTCTCTTGGTCTTCCGGCACTATAGCAATCTGAAAATACCCGAATAACCATCTAGGAAGCAGTAGTAGGCATGACCAATAAGTCTTTCAAGCATTTGATCAATCAAGGGCAAAGGAAAATGATCCTCGCGGATTATTGCATTCAATTTTCTATAATCTATGCACACTCACCACTTGTTTTAAATTCCGGTGGGGACCAAGTCTCCATTTTGATTCTTTACCACCGTGATACTAGTCTTTTTGGGGATAACTTACACTCGGACTTACCTATGCACTATCCGAAATTGGGTAAATTACCCCTGCTTGGAGTAGTTTCGAATTTCTTTCTTCACCATTTCCATCATGGGTGGATTCAATCTCCATTGTGGTTGATAGATTGGCTTGACTCCATCTTCTAACAAAATTCGATGCATGCATGTAGAGGGACCGATTCCTTTCATATCGCAATGGTCCAACCTATTGTTGTCTTGTGTTGTTTTAAGCACTTGTACAAGTCCGTCCTCTTATTCTTTTTGAAGCTTGCTTGAGATAATGGCAGGTAGTGTCTCTCCCCTCCGAGATACACATACTTGAGATGGTCGGGGAGAGGTTTCAGCTCCAAAATCGGGGCTTGCAACACGGATGGTCGAAGTTGCTTGGTAGGTACCGAAAGCTCAATATAAGACAAGTTGTTAGAGCCTTTCAGCTCCTCAAATTTGTTCATTCAGTCATGGCCTCCTATGTTTTAGACTTGAGTTGCAACTCACTACTTGCTTTTAAAAGGTGCTCACAATTGACTATCTCCAACTCATCTTTGCCATCAATTTCGAACATATCCTGTGCTAGAGAATCAATTACATCAACCGAATACAAAGGATAATCAACATGAGGATATTTCATGACATCATAGATATTAAATCTTATGATTTCACCATTAAACTCTATGGTCAAGGTACCATTGTAGACATCAATTTTTGTTCGAGAAGTTTTCAAAAAAGGCCTACCTAACAGAATTGGTGCTACATTATCATCATTTTCCATATCAAGGACATAAAAATCAGTAGGAAAAGTCATTTTTTCATAAACTTGAATAAGTACATCCTCAACTACTCCCTTAGGATGAACAAGTGGACCTATCGCCTAATTGAATGACTATTTGTTTCCTCCAAAGGTCCAAGGTTAAAAGTGATGTATATGGAGCATGGCATAACATTGATGGAAGCTCCTAAGTCTAGCATGGCCTTTTTAATGTTAGCATCACCTATTATGCATGGAATGCAAAACGTACCTGGATCCTTGCATTTCTTAGGAAGGTTTCTTTGTATGATTGCCGAAACATTTTCACCTACCTTAATTTTCTCTCCTCTTGTAAGCTTTTGCTTCCTCTTCACTATGCATAATTCTTTCAAGAATTTGGCATAGCGAGGACTTGCTTGATTGCATCCAACAATGGAATGTTCACTATGCAATTTTGAAATGTTTCATACAAATCGGTATTGCTTTTAAAATTGCGAGTGCAAACTAAAGCATCATGGAAAGGAGGGGGAACTCTATCATTTGGTGATGGTGAAGACTTACCTATTGTTTCTTCCTTCTTTTGATAGGCTTGTTCTGTCACCTCTTCTTCTTCTTCAATACGTCTGCTAAATTGGTTCGATTGGTGCCTTCTTTGGTGGTTCCAACTCTTTTCCACTTCGCAAGACTACTACACTTGTATTTTCTTTTGGATTTACCACTATTTACGAGGGTAGCTTGCTTGAATTTTAAGCTTCAATTCTCGCTAACATCATTGGCCAATTGGCCCACTCGATGCTCGTAAGTTTTGAATGCTATTCTTTATCTCTTGTTGAAATTTTATCATGTTAGTAGCTAAGGTTTTGACAATATCTTCAAGAGACATACCCGAATTAGAAGTTTGAGCACTGTGGTCGCTGTTTAAAAGGGTACTGTCGCTTGAATGGCTGAAAATTATTGGTGGGCTAATTCATTAGGGCATTGCCATAGTGAAAGTTAGGATGATCCCTCCAACTCGCGTTGTATGTGTTGGAAAAAGGGTTATAATTTCGATGTGGAAGTCCCGGGAACCCTCCAAGTGGCATTTGCTTGTTCAAGGTTATCATCTTGGAGAGTCGGACGCATGTCCGTTGCATGTCCCACCGCCGAACAAATTCCATAAGCCTTTGTTGTTTCTATTTTTTCCCGCTGCCAATTGACGCACAAGAGTAGTAAGGTCATCAAAATGCTTTTCAAGGGAAGAAGTACTTACCTCAT